TTGGGGACTAGGAAATTCAGATATAGCCTATAGCTGGTTGATCTTTATCGTCGAGAAATCCCCTGGCCTGACTTTATTGATTGTCCGCCGTCCGTGATGGGCAGCTCAGCCGAAAGCCAAAACTCACGGGCTCCGGAAGGTAGCCTCAAGAACTTGAGAAACACCAAGTTCAAAGGCTCTCTTTTTGAGATATACACGTGAGAGTAAAACCCTTAGGCTGGCGAAAACCACACATCGCGGTGACGCGGTGACAAAACATGCTGTGCTGCTTGGGCGCTTGAAATACTGTCGAATCATCAGCCCCACAGCAGCGCTTTAGGGCGGCTTTGGCCCCACAACCGACATGGGCTGAAGCTGGCAGCTGGTCATAATGTTCCCAGCAATCTCTGTACACTAAGTATTGGATCAGGGGATTGATCAGGGAAATCTTCGTCAGCTGCTTGAACTCCATTAGTCCTGAGTTGACCAAGTGGGCCAACTCAGTGGCTGCCACAAGTCTCAGATCAAATTGTCCGTTTAACAAAATCAACTGTTCGACTTTCCGCGTTTGAGAAACAGTTTTTTTGACATTTTCATTTTCGGATCAGGGAATGAATTTTACTAACGCTGCAAGAATCCCCCGTTTCCTTTGCTTCTGGGCGGGTCCCCGCCAGTGTTGTCTAGCCTGCCAAAGTCAACAAATCCTGTCAGCCTTCGACTTCAACAACTCCAGCTCCCTATGTTTCTGTTCCGTTCCCCCTGCTATAGATCCTTCTGGACGCATTTCTGACCACCCTCTTCTTGCTTCCCTCCCACTTCCGCTGCTCGCTCTGCGCGGGATGCTCACCCACCCTAGCTTTCGAGTCCGGGACCCCAAGCTTCAAGTGCGCGACAATGCAGAACACGTCTGCGTGCAGCTTGCTTTCCGGTCTGTACCCTTTCTAGGACGGACCTGATTTCTGGGAATCCATCCACATTTGCTTTTGATTTTCAGAGATGCTAACGGAAATGCAGCCGACCTTGGAACGAAAGATGGAGTCCAGAGACCATCTTACGGTTCATGATAGATTCACTTTAACAAAAACTGCGGAAGTCCAACGCCCCTACACATCGTTGAGCGCACAAAAAGGTGGGTGTCCCTTTGTCTCAAAGCGCTTTGGCACATTGCTCTCAGGGTGTGTTTGGCCTCACATGCCGGAAGCTTCAAAGAGGGCAGGGAAAGACTCGAGAGCTGCTCGCAACGAATGAAAAATGTCACTCGCTCGATTTGGCACACCCGAACTTCTACACCAATGGCCTATCACACAACACATGGTTTCCAAGTCGGTGTTTCTTCGACCAATGGAGCAAGGGCTGCGGGAAAAACCACGCAACCAAAAAGTGGAGGCAAGCACATGTAGTGGAGCTCCAAGAGTGAGAGAGAGAGAGAGAGTTGGGCTGGAGCGTGTCTTCTGCCGTGTTTTGAAGCAGAGGCCTTGTGGCAGGAACCGAACGATACGAGACAAAACCCATGAACCACAGTTAGTTGCACAAGGCCCTCAGCGCGACCTACCTGCCAGCCTTGGTCATGCAATCAATCCTCGAAAGGCAAAAGCTGTCAAACCAATGAGCTCTCAAGTGATCCGGCGTTTGCCTGAGCCCAGGCTCCAGAAAGAATAACTGCCTTTCAGGTCCTAGAAGCTACTAGTAATAAGGGCACCGCTACTAGTAACAAGAGCATTACTACAAGTAGCTAGAAGCTATATTAATTTCAAAGATTTAAATATGGACATGCTGTAGCCTGATGGCTGCCTGTGTCTTGGAGGATATACGTGCACTCGCCAATGCGCATAAGGACCTCACTGTTTCTGCAACATTTTTGGTCTCCCTTTTCCACAGGTTCCATTGCAACATAAAGAAAAGAATTGACTGACGCCCTGGGAAGGTAGATTGATCCATGTGTGAACAGTGGTCATTGAAGGCCAAGGCTCAAGCCCAAGCGGCAACCAATCGAGCCAGAAGCAGTCAGAATCAGTGCTTTGGGAACAAAGTACTGACTATGAACATGTGAAAACAGGTTTTTACAAGAACATCTTCGTTGCCAGAGTCTTTGCATGTAGAGTTCCCTTTGTGTGTTTGTTCACCGTTTCCGCACACCTGACACGGAGGCTATGCGATGGAAGAGAAGCTGGCAGAGGAGTTTGGAGAAGTTTCTCTCGCGTAGTGCAAGAGTATTTCCGCGTGTCCACGTGGCGTTGTTGTACATCTCCCATATTCCATTCCCCAGTCGAGCCGAGCCCTTAGAATTTTGTTAGTGGGAACCGGGTGTGCATACTGTATTCGGGTTTTCATTAGCTCTCTCTAGCCCTCTGACTATTCTGAGCAAACACGTGCAATTGGGTAAAACCAACCAAATTCAAATGGTGCAAGTGTAGGGCATCCCACTTTGCAGTGACCTTACCTGCGAGTTCCAGCAACCAAAATCAGAATGAAAAGGTAGGTTTATTTGTTTAGTGCAACGGGTGGTTGCGATCCCAGAGGCATCCTTTCACCAGATAGATGGTTTCCTTCTCCCCGACGGCCACATATGATGGATGATCAACTTTTGTGCTACAAGAGATGCTTTGTCAAGCTCGACGTCGTTTGAAAAGAGATGCTGAACGTTGGGAAGATCACACCCTGGAAAACTGTTCGGCAACAACACCAAAGCCGGAAGACGGATCGCCCATGGATCGCGCGCATTGTTACACCGAATTGACGGTTCCATCTTGGTCTCCGTGCCAAGAAGCTACTTGGTTGGAGGCCATCGCTAGTAGGTTGAAGGCCATTACTACTAATAACAAGAAGCTACTAGGAACAAAGGCTTCCACGCCCTGCGAAGGCCCAGTGCGGTTCATCCGCTTCAAGCCCGGTTCGGCAAAGTCGACGGAGCCACCTCAGGACGCTTGGAAGAAGGAAAGGCAAAGCCTTGCCGAGGAGACGGGAAAATCGTCGTTTTCGGGTTGGATTGAGAAAGAGTTGTTGTTTTTGGTGATGTCTTGTGGTGAACGAAACAGAGAAACGGCAGTGGAACAACATGTTTGTAAATGGTGTTGAAAATTCCTCTCTGGACCAGTGCTGAACTGTCCTGCTGTTGGTCAACCCGACTCACTGGGTACATGCTGCAGCTTGGATTGCGTTCTGGGCTTGGTCAATGAAACCGGGAAAAATGTGTGAAACTCGTACAAGTTGAGGATGGATCTCCGGCTTTGAAGCCAGCGTTGTGCACCTCACCAAGCAATGTGGGTTTGTGTTTGAAACAGGGAGACCTCCCAAAGACTCGCTGGAAGAAGAGAAATAGACCTATTGGTTGGGGCGCCCGGCTATTTTGGTACCCACCCATGTGGTTTCCAGCAGGTCGCCTCCAATGGTGCTGTGGTGAAAAGCAATTATATACGGTATTTATATATATATACATATCAGGAAACTGAGTTGCGTGGGACAGATATTGTCAGAGCCACAGTCTTTAAATGACCACCCATCAGAAGGGGTTGGATTCGATGATTATTGTTGGCAAGACTTCAGGGGTGCTTGCTAGTAAGGGTACTAGGTTGTTGTTACCGAACATGCTGCTTTCAACCAGAAATGGGAGTTTCATGGGAGTTCAACGAAGGGTGTTTGGTGTACAGCTTAGCAGTGTTTCTGGGATTCCCCTATTGAAATAGAGAATGGTAGACCATCCACAATGCGAAATAGAAAACTCAAGGTTGCGGTGTGTGAGGTGCGGACACTTCCAACATGCACTCAAGTGTAGAGTGGGAGAATACCAAGCAATTGAAAAGTTGTAAGTTGTCTTATGGCATGTTCCATATTCCCTTTACTGCAGAATAATGGTACTCCAAGAGAAGGGATGTTGATCCAAAATCCCACCATTCTTTTCGTTTGCCTCAAGACTAGCCTGGTCCAGACAGGAAGCAGCAACAGTGGCAGCCGAGTTGCAGCGGTTGGCGCTTTGAGAAAAGTCAGCGCGAAGGAGGAGGCCGCTATTAGGTTAATAAGTATTTTGGTGTCCACGATGTCCACGTGTAAATCGTTGGCCATCCCACTGCGATCAGGTTCTCACCGGCCTATTGATCAGCGAGTCATCAACCACGGCGTCCCAAACATCTCTCAGGTACTGTCGAACGTAAATTATACTAAATATGGGAGGCCATCGCTAGTAGGTTGGAGGCCATCACTCTTAGGGTGGAGGCCATCGCTACAAAAATATGGGGCAAATCTTTGGGTTCCATTGGCAACATGCAATGCTTCCATCAGACGCTGCAATCCAAGTTCATGCCAACAAGCGTTTACGAAGCCTGAGGTCCCTTCAATCTCAGACGTCCTATAAAACTACAACGGACCATCAAAGCGAAAAGAGATAAATCTCCACCGACTTAAAGTATGGAACCCTCAAGTTGCAACTCGGAATAGCATGGGGCAATTGCAGAATGTGATGCTTCACCAGGTTTGAACTCCCAACCACGTAGTCATCCGGGTAGGTTGACCTCATGGTTGGTGGTCAACCCGGGTAGCCCGGTTTTGACCCACAGCCAAATGTCATATGTGTTTGTGCTTCTTGCTCCTAGTAGTCTTGTTCCTAGTAGTACGGCCAGGAGCCCCTAGTAGCGTCCTTGCTCCTAGTAGCGATGCCAGGAGCCCCTAGTAGCTGACGGACCGGACGTGCAAGCAGAGTGCGCAAAATGCTTGTAGAAACACGACAAAAGTAACTCCTATGGTTTTTTGGAGGTGCATGAGGTAAGCTTAAGTAGCTGTAGTAGCTGCTACCTAGGACCCACTCTCTCGTCAGGTTTTGTAGCAAACATAGTGTTTCTTGTCTTTTTGTCATGTTTTTTTGCTCACTTTCTAAGGAGGGACTGAACATGTGTCACTGCGCCGTAACGGCGACGAGGTTGGACCTCTCCTGGTGTTGGAACCTGGGTGATCGAGGCAAAGCGTCACGGCTCGATTCTAACGACATGATCATGTGGCGAATAGGGAAACACCCAAAACCTACAGTTTAGGACGCTACTAGGGGCTCCTGGCCTAAACCCACTCCTACTTCAATTAAGTAAGGAGGTAAAGACGCTACGAAGCTACTAGTAGCTGGAAGGAGAGCTCACAAGCTTCCTTAAAGAAGGGCTCCCACTAATGATTTGGTTTCTAGATGTTTAGGGAAACTTAATTGTAAGATCTGCACTTGGGTGGCATGATCAGAACAAAGGGATGTTTGTCATTTGGAGCTTTTGACTGTTACCAGGCTCCCTGAATGAGTTGGCAGACTGAGAAAAGGGGATTGCTTCATGTTCTTTGACTGGCAAACTGGCAGATCCTGGAACCTATCAAAGGTAGATGGCAACCACAAAGAAGTCCTTCACTCATAGGAGGTTTGGCCAGTTGCTTAGTTTTGCACTGGGTTGCAGCCTTTATCAACAATCCTTGAACTTCACTAGTAGTGTCCTTGCTCCTAGTAGCGATGCCCTTTGTTCCTAGTAGCTTCATGTTCCTAGTAGTAAGGCCAGGAGCTACTAGTAGCCTCCTTGCTCCTAGTAGCGATGCCAGGAGCCCGTAGTAGCGTCCTTGCTCGTAGGTTTGTTCGCAAGTGAAATGGCCTTAGCTCAGTCGGTTTGACTCTCCACAGGTCTAGCAGCCTTGCTGAACGTGTCAACAGGCCCGGCCCTGCGTGCGACGGGACAGCAGTCAAGGAAGGAGGGAAGTTGTTCCTGAACTCATCCTGCACAAGTGGTAAGGCATCATATCCCCATCGTTCTGTGGTCTGTCACGTGGCAAGTCAAGTTTTGTCCATTTTTTCGGTGGACTCTGTGGGATTGGACATGGTGGCCCCGTCCTTGTGAGGGGATGGTAAACACACCTACGACCATGAAGATGAGCCCAACTTTAAACCGACAAATTGTCTAAAGACATGAAGGCACGATTGTCAGGATCCTCAGTGTATGGTTGCAGGTCCACTTTCTGTGCCTACTTGCCACCAAAGGGCCATTTGCCTATGCATTGTGTGTTCGTCTGAAGGGCTTCAGCCTTTGCTTCTACCTTTCTGTTTCCAGAATGACCTTGGAATTGTTCGGTCTCATGTCTTGTTGAGAACCCAAAGTGTGAATCGCTGGTCCAAACTAGCCGAGGGCAATTCCTCAGTGAGAATGGTCTGCAAAAGGAGTGTTTGCATTTTCCCAAGCTTTGACATGTCGACAGGTCCGTGTCTTTGTCAAAGGCCTCCGCATCAGCGATCTGTAGGGTTTGCCAAACCCAAACCAGAAGAACGGGTTCTTTCTTGGGCCTTTTTCCCTTAGACCTTTAGAGCTTTTCTTTTGTCAATCCTTTCTATCTTCCATTACCACTAAAACCAAGCATCCCGGAGAGACCTGAACGATTGCTCCGCTTGAAGCCTCAGCAGCCCAGGTCTCCAACGCCTGCGCCTCGCAGGGATGAAGAGCCTCTCGGAGCACGGCACGGGCCGCCCAGCGAGTCGCGGCGTGGCGCGTCGTGCAAAGTGCGGAGGGTCCTGGAGGTCCGTGTCGCAGAAGGGAAATGGGCCTTACTAGGAACAAGAAGCTACTAGGGGCTCCTGGCATCGCTACTAGGAGCAAGGACGCTACTAGGGGCTCCTGGCCTTTCTACTAGGAGCAAGAAGCCACTAGTAACAAGGAAGCTAGTAGGAACACCATTCTACTAGGAGCCAAAGGGCATCGCTACGAACGGAGCAAAGGGCATCGCTACTAGTAGCTCCTGGCCTTACTAGTAGCAAGAGGACGCTACTAGGAACAGTGAGTCAGATATTTGGGATTATGCACAGAAAGGTCGGTGTGTTCAACTCTTAGCTGTTTTGCACCTTCGAGCTCCTGCGCGGTTTGAACTCTGTGAGTCTGTGTGTTTGTTCGACCTTCGACAACCTTGAAGCGTCACCAGTTCCTCAAGTGAAACAGAAACCTTCAAACGGTTCTTTGGCCGTTCCCGAGCTTCTGTCTCTTCAATTCCGCTGGATTCCATAGATCTTGAAACCGAAACCCGACCCTTGGAGGAAGGCCATGTGGTGGAGGACAGCGTCCGGGAATTTCTCGCAGGGAAGTAGGGTCCTCCAGCGCCGGCTGTGATCCAGTTCAGGCAACTGCAGTTGAATGAAGCCCATGACACAAGTCCTTTAGACCTTTAGACAAGTCTCTAATAGCGATGGCCTCCAGTTCTGCACGCAGGTTTGATCCCTTGCGTCCGCATGTCGGGGACCTCAGACAGGGACTGTTGACCCAAGCACTGACGTGATCGGAAGCAAGCGTTCGTCTATCAGCCCGACTACTGCGCTTTGGTTTGTCACAGTGGGTCAAATATGGGTCAAGTGCCCTAGCAGGTGTGCAAGCAAAAGGAAGAAAGGACGCAATCCCCAGCATAGATTCCAAGTAACCCGCAGGGCAAAGGAGTGTTGTGTTGCATTCGCCGCGCTCTCACCCATACTTACACGTTTCCGCCCCCACCACGCTTTCCTTGGCATACACGGGCATACACTTACTTTGTGATGTGCCAAAAGAGAAACACCACCAGTTCCATCATGATCATTGTGTTCCATCGAAGTGTTTGCGGCACCGTCGGCGTAGTTCTTCACCCGGTATCGCCCGGCCGAGGGCCCAGTTGGAAGAACTCGTTCGGGGACCCAGACGGGTTGGATTCCGTTTTGCCAGATTCCTTGGACCATGTCCCAAAGCCGGGGGGGCGACATCTGACGTTCTTTCTGAAGCATGAAAGGTACCTATCCCTTAAAGTTCTAAAGGACACGCTCCGCCGCTTCAGCGAGAAAAACATGATGCAAAAGGAACATCCGAACATTCCAATCAAAAGCCTCGCACGAATGCGAGTCCTTGTAGACGTTCAGCGTGAGCTGGTCGAGTTTGGGTCAGGGTTCCGTACCCCTGAGTGTCGGCCAAGACACCTTGGTTTTTGGTAGACAAGAGGTGCGAGATTAACGCTTCTTGGAGATGATGGTGGTGGGTTCAAAAAGCGCGATATGTTTGCGCTGTGATGTCACAGCCCTTAGAGCCCTTGAGACCAATCTGTTCATTTCGTCCGGACGACCTCTGAGCCCCTGATCATTCCAGTGTCTGCTAAGGCGCCTAATAGCAAAAGGAACCTAATAACGATGGCCTCCAACCTAGTAGCGACGATCTCTTGCTTCAAAAAGTTCCAGGTTCTTGAATGGCCCTCAGCCAACGGAACCTGCCCAAACACCAGAAATGTTTGATCAGGCAAAACGACCCCATGTAACCATTCATCTCGCATGGCTCGAGGACTGCACTGCTTGCAACAGCGTGAGTGATAGCTTCTTGGAGCCCTTCCGGCACTGCTTGACGCAAAATAGCGTAGTTTGTTTCGGAGGTTAGGGACTGTAAAGATGCTACTAGTAGCTTCTTGTTACTAGTAGAAACGGCCTCCAACTAATAGCGATGGCCTCCACCTAATAGCGTCCTTGCTCCTAATGAAAAGGTAATCATGAAAGACAGAAAGTCTCATGGTGTAAACAACCACACAATGTTAATGCTGAAAATCAGACAACCCGGAGGTGCAATGTTACTTGGGCCATCACCATGGTGAAACATCAACAACGCGCCAGGTTCCTGCTGCGGCTTTTCGCTGGCCCAGTGGGATCTACAGGAGACGCGCTGCCAGGCATTGCGGGAGTGTGACTTTGCACCCCTTGTTACTAGTAGCTTCTTGTTCCTGGTAGTAAGGCCAGGAGCCTACTAGGAGCGTCCTTGCTCCTAGTAGCGATGCACTTTGCTCCTAGTAGCTTCTTGCTGCATGTTGGCATCTTCCATTGAGTCGAATCAGTTTGTTTGTAATGTTGTGCACCGGTGAGCCTGTTACAGGGTAGTCACAATTTGTTTGTAAAGCTATTCACATCAAAAGGCCGATCGGTCTGGATACAATTCGTATCCACCTTGCAGATGGTGTCAAGAGATCAGACATTGTTTTTGAATGAGCCTGTTTTCATGATCTTCTGAGGAACAATGTTCGCTTCTAGGGGCTCCTGGCATCGCTACTGGGAGCAAAGACGCTACTAGGGGCTCCTGGCCTTACTACTAGGAACAAGAAGCTTCTAGGAGCAATCTTCTGAGTGTTTCAATCACCTGACAACGAGAAATGTCATTTCATGAGTTCCCCCGGGGCGACCTCAGAACACATCCATGCCATCCCGTTCCTCCCGCCGTCCTCGTCAATACCAGACACTGGTGAGCTGCCGGGTTCTGTGCGGCGCGCCTCGCAGCAGCTTTGGACACGAAGGCGGCCTTGGGCGCCTTGGAATTCCCATCGCCGGGGGATGTGTGGAACAGAGCATCAGGGGTATACGCACCTCCACGGGATCAAAGAATAATAGCGATGGCCTCCACCCTAAGAGTGATGGCCTCCAGCCTACTACAAGAAAAAGCCAGGAAAGCAAGAACTGAGTTGGTCCAGGTTACTTGCCCTGTCACCAGGTCCACTGTGACTCAGGTGCCCCGACCGGAGATCCGCAACTACTACGCCCAGAGGTTGGAGGACTGTCGAGACGTGCGGAGACACGGAGATGTAGCGAGGTGGACCATCCACCCCAATAGCAATGGCCTCCAACCTACTAGCGATGGCACCCTAGTAGCGATGCCTGAGGTGACTTAGTGTGACTGAACATGGAACGTTGAGGTTGTTTAGATGCTTACAATCGACTCCATGGTGGCCCATGGTTCTTTGATATGCGTCAACATGGTTTCCCTGAATCTGTAGGGCATTGACCCTCACATCATTGTGGCAGACTTTGTTCAACGAGCAGTTTGTCACTTTCGTGATTGGTTTTGCAGATGTCAAGCAATGACTCCAACAGTATGGTTGGTTGTCCAAGTGCTCCGAACCCAAGCCGGTTGGATCGCAACAGTTTTTGAGACACGTGGGAAGAAGCTAGAGCCGAGACAGGACAGTTTTGGGAGCTATGAAGATTCTGGTTGGTCATCACCAATCATACGAGGGTTCGACCCCGAGTCGATTCTATTTTCAATGTCCACCTGTTGCGAGTCAGACCCAGTTCTGAGACAGATACCGTTCGGATTTGACCCATCGTACCACTGCTGGACACCATCTGTTTTTTTCTCGCTCTCGCAAAAACACG